CGGGACGCTATATCTGTTACAATGGAAGACTCACAACTGGCAGAAGTAATGTTGAAGCCCAGGCACAGATCAAGGACGCCTCCATAGATATGTGTGGGTTCAAGGTCACCTACAATTTGGACATTATCGTGACTGTTTAAGAGTGACAACAGTTGATTGCCATTACGATTACCAAACTGTGAGTTTCCAATGCTTTTGTGTCTCGCATTGTAATCGCCAATAATAAGAGTAGGCTCAGAATGAGCACAAGTTGGGAGCTCCAAGTAATTAAATTTATCAGCAGGAGCATACAAGTTAAATATGTTGAGAGCAGAGTTCCCTATATATAAATCCTAACACCGAGAAGAATTATGCCATTACGGTTGTTCTCAGTTTGTTTAAATAATTTACTTAATAAAAATATTTAACGGTTATTTAAATGTCACAAAATGTAACTCTGCAGTTATCTAATTATAGACTTTTTACATCATCTTGTTCAGTTAAATTATTTGAAGTTCATTTGTTGTATACATAAAAACAAATCATACATCTAGACTTTAGACAACGTGGACTCAGTAAGAAATCGTTGTTGTTGTTCTCGATTCGCCGGTACTCTCCCGACCCGGGTCTTTTCCTGATGGTGACTCGGCTTTGGTTCCCTGTCTTGGGAGTGCCTGAGACCTGTCTTCCGTGGGAGGAGATACAAGTACTTCCTCATCTTCTGGACCAACTGTCCCCAGGCCCAGCCCATTCCCCCGCCCTCACGGGGCTCGTAGGGAGAAGCTAGGCCTTTGGTCTGCCATCTCCCCCGCCCCATGGGGGCTCATGAAAGCGGCGGTCCTGTGAGCTGCAGATGGTAGCAAGCTCTGGCTCTGGCCCCTTTCCCCCTCCCTAAGAGGGCTCGTAGGAGTGCTGTCTGCTCTAAGTTAGGGATAACTAACACTGACGCATCCTTAGTGTCAAAGAAAACAGCTATGTACTACATGAAGAAGGGCGTTTGTTGCTTTCATGGCCCTATAAGACATTTGATAAAGTGGACCACTTTATCAAATGTGTGGAATTGTGTGGGATGGAAAAAAGATGTTTATATCACTAACAAGGGTGTACCACAAGGTGGCATCCCTTCACCCTTGTTTTTTAAATTCTATATTAATGTGAATGAAGATACAGAATAAAAAGTAACAATACTGTGACTGGAACAATACACAAGTAACCCACACTTAGGGAACTAAAACTTATGACGGTGGCCCGCGGCCTGGTGGTAAAAGCTCTTGCTGCACACGGTGAGGGTCTGGGTGCGATTCCCGGCGAAGAGGTGGAAACATAGGGCGTGTTTCCTTACAATGGATGTCCACGTTCGCCCATCAGTAATAATGGGTACCTGGGTGTTAGTGTACTGGTGTTGGTCGCATCCTGAGACAAAACTGAATTAATTTTCGGGAAATGCTCAGCATAACAAGCTGCTTTCTATATAGTAGTATGTCACTGATGTCAACTAGGCCTATATACCTTGTACATGTACCTGTAGAAATAGATATTACTACTATTAATACAACTTGCGTTGTAAACTCCTAAGTGTTTAGCGCTCCCCATGATTATAATAATACAACAACTACCGACATGTCTTTTGGATGTCTGTTTTTCTTCACCGTCTAAAATTTCCTATCAAAGTGTGCGTTATTGTGCAGTGTTCCAGCCACGGTATTGTACCTTACATTTTCGTTTATACTAGGCTCGTCCTTCCTTCACACAGTAGTTCAGTATTACGTACAGTAGGTCTATCTTCTCTAATGTTCCTTCCGATGTATTTTTCCGATAATTTATCTTTTTGTAGCAGTTTTACTTATAATGATCCCCTCCATCACAGAGGAAGTTACTGGGAATCGCCACAAACGGGTTTACCTCTTGTGTGCGTCATCATAATAACAGTAGTGTGAGAGAGAGAGAGAGGGAGAGAGAGAGAAAGGGAGGGGGTTGGACACGCGTACATTGAAGTGTACACTCCTGTTTCAGGTGATTATGGGTGGAGGTCGGCAGGAGATGGGTGCGCCGCTCCTGCCGGCGAAGCCCCGGTGTCCCAGGTCTGACGGCAGGAACTTGGTGGAGGAGTGGAAGCAGGACAAGGAGGACCGTGACGCCACCTACGCTTACGTTACCAACACACGCCAGCTCCGTGATGTTGACTTCAAATCCACCAACTATCTAATGGGTGGGTGATATCTATGTCTTGTTGTCAATGATGGGTGGATGATGCCTGTGTCTCGTTGTCACTGAATTCTGGTTATTGTTATTACTGTACTGTGGTATTTGTCATATGTTCATCACGTCATTTGTTACGATGGTTTATTGATGGGACGACATCTCCACTGGTGGAGGCAGTGGAGATGTCGAGTCTGAGGGCAATCTGTGGTGTGAATATAATGCAAAGAACTCGTAGTTTGGAAATTAGGAGGAGGTGCGGGATTACCAAAACTATTACACAGAGGGCTGAGGAAGGGTTGCTGAGGTGGTTTAGACATGTAGAGAGCATGGAACAGAATAGAATGACATGAGTGTATAAATCTGTTGTGGAGGGAAGGCAGGGTAAATGTCGGCCTAGGAAAGTTGGAGGGAGGGGGTAAAAAAGGCTTTCTGTGCGATGGGCTTGGACTTTCAGCAAGCATGCGTGAGCGTGTTAGGTAGGAGTAAATAACGACAAATGGTCTTGGGATTCAGGCAAACCGGCAGCCCGGACTTGAGTCCTGGAGATGGGAAGTACAGTGCCTGCACTCTGAAGGAGGGGTGTTAATGTTGCAGTTTAAAAACTGTAGTGCAAAGCACCCTTCTGGCAAGACAGTGATGGAGTGAATGATGGTGAAAGTTTTTCTTTTTCGGGCCACCCTGCCTTGGTGGGTCACCCTGCCTTGGTGGGTCACCCTGCCTTGGTGGGTCACCCTGCCTTGGTGGGTCACCCTGCCTTCGTGGCTCACCCTGCCTTGGTGGGTCACCCTGCCTTGGTGGGTCACCCTGCCTTGGTGGGTCACCCTGCCTTGGTGGGTCACCCTGCCTTGGTGGGTCACCCTGCCTTGGTGGGTCACCCTGCCTTGGTGGCTCACCCTCCTTGGGTGGCTCACCCGGGCCTTTGGGGGGTCCCCCCTCCCTTTGGGTGGGCCCCCTCCCTTTGGGGGGGCCACCCTGCCTTGGGGGCCACCCGGGTTTTGGGTGGGCCACCCTGCCTTGGGGGGTTCACCCCCCCTTTGGGGGGTCCCCCTTTCCCTTTTAGTGGGTCCCCCCCTCCCTTTGGGTTGGGCCACCCCTCCCCCCCCGGGTGGGTCACCCTGCCTTGGGGGGCCCACCCTGCCTTGGGGGGCCCCAACCCCCCTTCCCTGGGGCCCAAACCCTCCCTTTGGGTTTGGGTTCACTCCCCCCTTGGTTTGGGTCCCCCTTTCCTTGGTGGGCCCCCTTTGCCTTTGGGGGGGCCACCCTCCCCTTGGGGGGCCCACCCCTGCCCTTTTGGGGGGCCCACCCCTGCCTTGGTGGGCCACCCCTCCCTTTTGGGTGGGCCACCCTCCTTGGTGGGCCCCCCCTTGCCTGTTTTCATACAAAATCCCAAGTTCACGGGAACTTTAAAACTTTTATAAAAATCCCATAAGTAAAAACCTTTGGAATGAAACTTACAAACTAAAACTGTTAAAGCTTTTAAAAAGGTATAACTATAGAAACAACAAAAAACTAAACCAAAATGAAAACAAAACCCTCAACTTTGAGATTACAAGGATAAAAAAAAAAATTTTGATCGATCGTTTGTATTCAAAAAAATCTCCCCGGATTCTGGGGAAAGGGAATAAATACAAAGAAAGAGTGTTTAACAAAAAGGCAGATTTCGGGGGAAACGCAAATCAAACTTTTAAACTCTCAAAATTTGCGGAGGAAAAAAAGGGCCCCCAAAAAAAAAATTTTCTTGAATATTTGATAATTTTGGAATACTGAAAAATTTTTCATCATCCCAGGTTTTTTACATTTAACCCCAACTCTCTAGGGTAAATTGGCATATGCAGAATGGGTGTAAAAATTCGGGGGAAACAAACTTTTGGCTTTGGGCCAACTCATGCGGGGTTTTGAGGCAAATTAAAATTGGGAAAATTTATAAAAAATTGAAACTTGGGGTTTTCTAAATACCTGCCGTTTTAAAAAGGGGAATAACGACTTTCAGGTTGATGGGTCGACTGAGAAACCCGAGGAAGAGGTACGGGACCCAGGAGGATTTCTGTCCGGTTTGCCCCTTTTTTTTCTTTTTTGGGAAAAATCATTATCATCACATACTAACTTCTTTAATTGATCCAAATGCGATTCTTTATACTGGCCCCAGTACTAACCCTCTCAAAACCTTTTATATTTAAATTTCCTTTGGAAAGGGTTCAACTACGCGAAAAAGGACCCAAAAAACCCCTTTGATCAACCCTTTGGCATTGCGGGACTTTTTTGTTAAATTTAAAACAGCATAACTCCAAAACCCCTACTTTGTTTTTGGATGGCTTTGATCGAGTGTTTGCGACTCTTGAAAAAATTCTGCTTTTGATTTATGAAGTGTTTCAGGGAAAATTTTTCAAAAAACACTTTGACCCTAAGCGGTACAAATTTTCCCTACAAAATCACAGGTTGAAAAATTTGGTTTCGGATTAGAATACAACAACTCATAAGGCAAACGTTTATCTACCCCCAAATAAAATGCATAATGTGGATTTTCCCCCCTATAAAAACATTGTAACAGAATTTATAGCACATGCACATCAGGAAAACCTTCACCCCAAATTTCACTATTGGGTTTTGAAAAGGGGCTTTTCAATACATAAAAGTACTTTCTTTTTGGGTTCGTTCCGCTAACCCATTGCGGGCAGGATGATGGGGAAACCCTTGGGGGAAACCTTAGAGATTTTTAAAAGGTACAAAAATTTTCAAAAATTTCTTTACAAATTCACCCCCCCCATTATCTGTTACAAAGGGAACTTAGGGGGGTATCCCTGCGATAATCGTTCTTTTAAAACCTTTTACAATGTCCGGCAGTCTTATCTGCAATAGGAACTAACTCACAATACTGGAAAAAACTGGTCTACCATAAAAAACCAATGTTTTTTTCCCCCTTGGAGGAAAAATTGGGGGAAATTATTTAAAAATCAAAGCGAAAACTTTTTTCCCAAGGTTCCCCAATAGTTGGTTTACATTTTGGAAAGGGGAATTGGGGACCAAAGCTTCCCTTTTATGTTGCATGAAAACATTTCATTTCCAAAACAACTCAGAAAAAAACATTTTTGCCATACGAGGGCCCAAAAAGTTTTTCCCAATCTGGCTTGTTTTAAAACCGAACGATCCATACCGGGGTGGAAAACACCCGGGTAAAAAATCGTAAAACCCTAGCTGTAAGGCTAAAATTTCACTATTTGACTGTGGAATTACAAAATGGTATACCTCTTCTGCTAGGAGTACCCAACTCTCCCTGTTCGATACAGAAAATTCCCTTTGGTTCATGACAAAGTCACAAAAGGGGTGTTTGGGCCCTTAAACAGCAGAATAAAAACTTCCTGGAGCGGAAATGGAAATCACCCCAAACCCAACATGGGATCTGTTCGTTGAGCATTCTTTTACCCCCTTCAGCACTAAATGGGGGGCCCTCATTACATACTAACATGTCGCGATAAGCAATCGCGACTAACATTTACTTGCCGGGTTAAATGCCAAAGGGGGGATAAAAACCCTTTTGGGTTTAGTAAAGGGGTCCATCTAGTTTAACCTTCCAGTGGGTTTTTTGTTCGGGAAAAAAAAGGGGGAAATCAGGGGAAGCATGAATCTGCCCCAAGACATAAACCCAGAGTACTGATAAATAATGTCTGGGAATTGCTTTAAAGCCCAAATACAATTGCAAAAAGCTTTCTTGCTAAATTACTAAAAATTTACGTTCAGCCTTTGAAGGACTTCGGCAAAAAAATGCAACTGCGTTGTACTTCCCAAACGGCTTCTGAGTTTAAGTACCACCTATCCCAATTGAACTAGCATCAGTTGTCAAAAAAGGCTAAAAAAACTGGAAATTTAAAATTGGAGCAAATTTAAAGTTTTTTCTTTTAGATTTTTGGAATCTTTTTTCCTTTGACGGAAGTCCAAAAAAAAGGAGCATCTTTTTTTAAAGCAACTCATTTAGAGGACAGCTAGGAAAAAAAAATTGGGAAATGAAAGCTCAAAAAAAAACCCTGCAAAGGGGCCCCAAAAAGGATTTTTAACGGCTTTCACAGTTTTGGGGAAATTTGGGAAAAAATTTTGGGGTACTGCAGTTAAATTTTTTACTTTGGTCATTCGAAAAACCCCCCCAAGGAGTGACCAAACGTGACCAAAAAAACTTAATTTGATCTGAAAAATTTTGACATTTAAACATTTTGGGAATTTTTAAAATTGGCTTTTTCCCAAAGCTTACCAAGAAACTACATCAAGTCTTTCAATGTGTACCCAAACGTTTTTAGACATACGATTACGCCCACTAAGAAACCCCATAAGTGCATTACCTATGAGACCTCTAAAAAATTTTAATCATGACCCTTGAGAACGTGATGGGGGAAAGGGATCGTAATCCCAAAGGGCCATTCGGAGTAGGATAATGACCTGTAGGAGTGGAAAAATTGCAGTTAGCTCTTTCGTCCTCGTGAAAGGGATTTCCCAAAAACCCTTTGAAACAAATCTGGGGTTTTAAAAACTTTTTTAACCTCCAATTTTTTTTAAACAAAAAAATTCACCCAGTACAGGGGGGGGAAAGCGATCGGAAGGGTTTTTTTTTTGCTTTAAATTTCCCAAAAGTCAATTACTGGACGCCAAGTACCACCCTTTTCTTGGGTACTAGTATAAATTTGGTTTTTTCCCAAAGGGGAAATTGCTGGGTGCAATAACTCCATAAACAAGTTTTTTAAATTTGATAAATTTCTTCTGCAAAAGCAACTTGGAATAGGCATTCTGTACGCAGGTATGTAGATGGGCCCATCCCAAAGGTTCAAGTGGAATACATGGGAATAATTCGTTATACCCATCTTCTCACCGGGTAAAGCAATGGCTTTACGACGTTTGTTCCAGCAATTCAACAAACGTTTGACTTCATCTGGGAAGCCCAGGGAGCAAAGTCTTTCCCCCCAACTGGTGGAACAGTTGACCCCCAGTGGGGGTGGATGAGTCCCCCCCCCGGGCAAAAATAGC